AAACTTTGGGGCCCCCTCATTTTGCCAACCTCCCCCATGGGACCCCCCGATTTTGGGGACTGTCCCCACCTTGGTGACCCCCCCCCCCATTTTGGGGACCCTCCTCCATGGGACCCCCCATTTTGGGGACCCCCCCAGCCTTGGTGACCCCCCATCTTGGTGACCCCTCCATTTTGGGCACCCCCCGCCCCCCCATTTTTGGGGGCCTTCTCCACTTTGGGGACCCCTCAGGCCTTGGGGACCCTCCCAGGGTCTTGGGAACCCCTCCATGGACCCCCCGCCATTTTGGGGACCCCCTCCCTGCCCTGGGGACCATCTCAGGATCTTGGGGACCCCCCCATTGTGGGGACCTCTCCATTTTGGGGGACCTGGTGGACATTGGGGGTCACCAAGGTGGGACCTGGAGGAGATTTGGGGTCACCAAGGCCAAACCTGGAGATTTGGGGTCACCAAGGAGGTTCTGCTGGAAGTTGGGGGTCACCAAGGTGGGACCTGGAGCAGATTTTGGGTCATCAAGGCAGAAACTGGAGGAGATTTGGGGTCACCAAGGTGGAACCTGTTGGAGATTGGGGTCCACCCCAAGGTGGAACCTGGAGAAGATTTGGGGTCACCAAGGTCAAACCTGGAGGAGCTAAGGTCAAACCTGGAGAAGGTTTGGGGTCACCATGGTGGGACCTGAAGATTTGAGGTCACCAAGGTCAAACATGGAGGAGCTAAGGTCAGACCTGGAGAAGGTTTGGGGTCACCATGGTGGGACCTGGAGATTTGGGGTCACCAGGGTAGGACCTGCTGGACATTTGGGGTCACCAAGGTGGGACCTGGAGAAGATCTGGGATCACCAAGGTGGAACCTGCTGGAGGTTGGGGGCCACCCAAGGTGGAAGCTGGAAAAGATTTAGGGTCACCATGGTCAAACCTGGAGGAGATTTGGGGTCACCCAGGTGGGACCTGCTGGAGATTTGGGGTCACCAAAGTAGAACCTGGAGGAGATTTGGGGTCACTAAGGTGGGACCTGGAGATTTTGGGTCACCAAGGTGGGATCTGGAGGACATTTGGGGTCACCAAGTGGGACCTGGAGAAGATTTGGGGACACCATGGTGGGACCTGGAGGAGACTGGGGAGTCCATCAGGGTGGGATGTGGAGAACCTGGAGGAGATTCGGGAGCACCAAGGTGGGACCTGCTGGACATTGAGGGTCACCAAGGTGAGACCTTGAGAAGATTTGGGGTCACCAAGGTGGAACCTGCTGGAAGTTGGGGGTCACCAAGGTCAAACCTGGAGGAGATTTGGGGGCACCAAGGTGGGACCTGCTGGACATTGAGGGTCACCAAGGTGAGACCTTGAGGAGATTTGGGGTCACCAAGGTGGGACCTGCTGGACATTGGGGGTCACCAAGGTGAGACCTTGAGAAGATTTGGGGTCACCAAAGTGGGACCTGGAGATTTGGGGTCACTAAGGTGGGACTTGGAAGAGGTGGGGTCACCAAGGTGGGACCTGGAAGAGGTGGGGGCACCAAGGTGGAACCCAGAGGAGATTTGGGTACACCATGGTGGGACCTGGAGGAGATTTGGGGTCACCAAGGTGGGACCTGGAAGAGGTGGGGGCACCAAGGTGGAACCCAGAGGAGATTTGGGTACACCATGGTGGGACCTGGAGGAGATTTGGGGTCACCAAGGTGGGACCTGGTGGAGACTGGGGCGTCCATCAGGGTGGGAGCTGGAGGACCTGGAGGAGATTCGGGAGCACCAAGGTGGGACCTGGAAGTGGTGGGGTCACCAAGGAGATCCTGCTGGAAGCTGGGGGGGCACCAAGGTGGAAACCGGAGGAGATTTGGGGTCACCAAGGTGGGACCTGCTGGAGATTGGGGGTCACAAAGGTCAAACCTGGAGGACATTTGGGGTCCCCAAGGTGGGACCGGGAGATTTGGGGTCACCAAGGTGGAAACTGGAGGACATTTGGGGTCTCCAAGTGGGACCTGGAGGAGATTTGGGGTCACCAAGGCGGAAACTGGAGGACATTTGGGGTCTCCAAGTGGGACCTGGAGGAGATTTGGGGTCGCCAAGGTGGAACCTTGAGGAGGTTTGGGGTCACCAAGGTGGGACCTGGTGGAGACTGGGGGGTCCATCAGGGTGGGATGTGGAGAACCTGGAGATTCGGGAGCACCAAGGTGGGACCTGCTGGACATTGGGGGTCACCAAGGTGGAACCTGGAGAAGATTTGGGGTCACCAACGTGGGATCTGGAGGACCTGGAAGAGGTTGGGGCACCAAGGTGGGACCTGCTGGAGGCTGGGGGGGCACCAAGGTGGGCCCTGGAAGACCTGGTGGAGGTTGGGGGTTGCTCAGATGGGATCTGGAGCAGATGATGGTGTCCTGTAGAAGATGGGGGCACCAAGGTTGGTCCTGAAGAAGATTGAGGGCACCCAAGCGTGACCTGGAGGAGATTTGGGGTCACCAAGATGGGTCCTGGAAGTGACGGGAGCACCAAGGTGGGACCTGGAGAAGATTTGGGGTCACCAAGGTGAAACCTGGGACAGGTGGAGGCACCAAGGTTGGTTGGGGTCACCAGGATGGGACCTGGTGGAGATCTGGGGGGACCAGGAGGACCCGGAGGGATTTGGGGGGTGCTCTGGTGGGATCTGGAGCAGATGGTGGTGCCCAGGTGGGTTGGGCAGGACCACGTGGAGAGCTGGGGGCACCAGGGTTGGACCTGGAGGAGATGGGGGCCACCAAGGTGGGTTCAGGAGGAGATCAGGGACACCAGGATCGGTCCTGGAGGACACTGGGGACACCAGGATGGATCCAGCAGGAGGAGATGGACACCAAGGTGAGACCTGGAGGGCCTGGAGAAGATGAACACCAAGATGGGTCCAGGAGAACCAGGAGGAGATGACGGACCCCAAAATGGCTCCAGGAGTTGAGGGAGGACCCCAATATGGCCCCAGGAGGGTCCAGGAGGAGATGATGGACCCCAAAATGGCTCCAGGAGTTGATGGTGGACCCCAAAATGGCCCCAGGAGGGTCCAGGAGGAGATGATGGACCCCAAAATGGCTCCAGGAGTTGATGGTGGACCCCAGTATGGCCCGAGGAGGACCAGGAGGAGATGATGAACTCCAAGATCCAGGAATTGATGGTGGACCCCAAGATGGGTTCAGAAGGACCAGGAGGAGATGCTGGACCCCAAGATGGGTCCTGTAGGACCAGTAGGAGATGATGGACCCCGGGATGGGCTCAGGAGGGCCAGGAGGAGATGATGGACCCCAAGATGGCTTCAGGAGTTGGATGGACCCCAAGATGGCTCCAGGAGTTGGATGGACACCAAGATGGGCCCAGAAGAACCAGGAGCAGGTGGGAGGTCCTGGGACAGGTCCAACAGACCCGGTGGGGTTCCAGGACAGGTCCTGGTGGTGCCAACGTGTGTGGGACAGGATGGACATGGTGACATGTGGGGACATCCAGCCCACCCAGCTTCTCCAGGCTGGACAATTGGCCACCATGACCCCCCCAGGGCCACCACTCCCATGGGGACCTCCCAGGTCCTTGTCATTGTAGTCCCCGGTGTCCAGGTGACCTTCTCCCACCTCCCCAACCCCGTGGAGACCCCACAGAGCCAGGATGTTCCTCGTGACTCCCCCAGCGAAGAACCAGGCAGTGACACAGCCAGAAGGTCGGGATGGACCCCAAGGACTTCTCCTTGTCCGGGCGGGAAAGGATGGAGACAATCCCTGGATGCCCTCCGTCCATGAGGTCCAGCTGGAGATGGAGATCACCACGTGGTGAGGTTGGAGAACCTCACGGAACTCCTGGTTCTTGGTGGAGATGGAGCTCACCACGTGGTGAAGTTGGAGAACCTCACAGACCTGGTTCTTGGTGAAGATGGAGCTCCCCACATGGTGAAGAACCTCACAGACCTCCCGGTTCTTGGCGGAGATGGAGCTCACCACGTGATGGAGAACCACATGGATCTCCTGCTTCTTGGTGGAGATGGAGCTCCCCACATGGTGAAGAACCTCACAGACCTGTTCTTGGTGATGATGGAACTCACCACGTGGTAGAATTTGGAGAACCTCACAGATCTCCCGGTTCTTGGTGGAGATGGAGCTCACCATGTGGTGAAGTTGGAGAACCACATGGAATTCCTGGTTCTTGGTGGAGATGGAGCTCACCACGTGGTGGAGAACCTCACAGACCTCCAGGTTCTTGGTGATGATGGAGCTCGCCACATGGTGAAGAACCTCACAGACCTCCCGGTTCTTGATGATGATGGAGCTCACCACATGGTAGAATTTGGAGAACCTCACAGATCTCCTGGTTCTTGGTGGAGATGGAGCTCACCATGTGGTGAAGTTGGAGAACCACATGGAATTCCTGGTTCTTGGTGGAGATGGGGCTCACCACGTGGTGGAGAACCTCAGACCTCCAGGTTCTTGGTGATGACGGAGCTCCCCGCATGGTGAAGAACCTCACAGACCTCCCGGTTCTTGATGATGATGGAGCTCACCACATGGTGAAGAACCTCACAGACCTCCCGGTTCTTGATGATGATGGAGCTCACCACATGGTGAAGAACTTCACAGACCTCCTGGTTCTTGGAGATGGAGCTCACCACGTGGTGGAGAACCTCACAGACCTGTTCTTGGTGATGATGGAACTCGCCACATGGTGAATTTGGAGAACCTCACAGACCTCCCGGTTCTTGGTGGACATGGTGCTCACCACGTGCTAGGTGGAGATGGAGCTCACCACGTGGTGAATTTGGAGAACCTCACAGACCTCCCGATTCTTGGTGGAGATGGAACTCACCACATGATGAATTTGGAGAACCTCACAGACCTCCCGGTTCTTGGAGATGGAGCTCACCACGGAAGAACCTCACAGACCTCCCGGTTCTTGATGATGATGGAGCTCACCACATGGTGAAGAACTTCACAGACCTCCTGGTTCTTGGAGATGGAGCTCACCACGTGGTGGGGAACCACATGGAACTCCTGGTTCTAGGTGGAGATGGAACTCACCACATGATGAATTTGGAGAACCTCCCAGACCTCCCGGTTCTTGGTGGAGATGGAACTCACCACATGATGAATTTGGAGAACCTCACAGACCTCCCGGTTCTTGGAGATGGAGCTCACCACGTGGTGGAGAACCTCACAGACCTGTTCTTGGTGATGATGGAACTCGCCACATGGTGAATTTGGAGAACCTCACAGACCTCCCGGTTCTTGGTGGACATGGTGCTCACCACGTGGTGGAGAACCTCACGGATCTCCTGTTTCTTGGTGGAGAGAGGTGCCACCACCTGGGGACTTTGACCCTCGGAGGGGACAGGGGGCCGGTGGCGGGGTGGGGACGGCGCGGTGGCAGCCGCTATAGGACGCCCTCCATGAAGCTGGTGTCCAGGTGCTGGATGAGGACACGGATGAAGGACATCTCCTTGCGCGTGTTCTCGAAGATGATCCGCGGGTCGTCCGATTGGCAGCGCAGGCAGTTGGGGGCCATCACCATGGCCAGGTTATTGACGTCCATCTTGGTGACGGCCACGTTGGCCGGCTGCACGAAGACCTGGAGGTGGTGGGAGGAGAAAAGGTGGAGGTCAAGGGGTTGGTGGGTGGAAGGACCGTGTGGACTTGGTTCTTCACCACGTGGTGACCTTGGAGAACGCAAAACCACTTCAGGAGAAGGAACCAGGAGAAAAAACCAGGAGCATGAACTCATGGGGTGGGAGGAGGAAGATGGAGAGGATGGGACTGGTGGGAGATGGGTGGAAGGACCACATGGACCTCCTGGTTCTTGGGGAAAATGGGGGTCACCACGTGGTGACCTTGGAGAACCCAAAACCCCCTCCAGAGAAGGAACCAGGAGGGTCTCCAATAACACCAACTCAGTGGGTGGGAGGAGGAAGATGAAGGTGATGGGGTTGGTGAATCTCCTGGTTTTTGAGGGAGATGGGGGTCACCATGTGGTGACCTTGGAGAACCCAAAACCACCTCAGGAGAAGGAACCAGGAGCACCAGCTCATGGGGTGGAAGGAGAAAGATGGAGATGATGGGATTGGTGGAACTCCTGGTTCTTGGTCACCATGTGATGAAGTTGGAGAACCCAAAACCACCTCAGGAGAAGGAACCAGACCTGGAGGCCGCCTGGTGGGCCGGCAGAAGGTTCTGCTGTACCTGGAGGAAGCGGATGAGGTAGCACAGCACCATCTTGTTGATCCGGGGCAGGGAGTGGACGACGGCGACGGCGGCCTCGGGGTTCTCGTAGTGGGAGATGCACTGCTCGTAGAAGTCGTGCGGGATCAGCGGCTCCTCCAGCTCGCGGTACCACAGCTTCAGCAGCGACGCTGGAGAGGACACGGGGAACAGGAGAAGGTGTGAGATCTTCTACGTGGAGGTTCTGCTCCCACCAAAACATCGCCCCGAGGTCCTACCGGGAACGTGCGGGTCCTCCAAGCCGGTGGGGATCTTCCATTGGTCCACCTGCAGCTTGAGGGCGTTGACCTCGTCGATGTCACCGGGGACCCTGTGGGGGGAAGAAGCGTCGGTGGCTGAGTGACCGATGGGGACCTCCCAGCTGGACAGCTTTGGGTGCTCCAGGAGGACCAGGAGGGGACATCAGCTGGGCATGGAGCTGCTAGAACCTCACAGACCTCCCGGTTCTTGGTGGAGATGGAACTCACCACATGATGAATTTGGAGAACCTCACAGACCTCCCGGTTCTTGGAGATGGAGCTCACCACGTGGTGGAGAACCTCACAGACCTGTTCTTGGTGATGATGGAACTCGCCACATGGTGAATTTGGAGAACCTCACAGACCTCCCGGTTCTTGGTGGACATGGTGCTCACCACGTGGTGGAGAACCTCACGGATCTCCCGTTTCTTGGTGGAGATAGGTGCCACCACCTGGGGACTTTGACCCTCGGAGGGGACAGGGGGCCGGTGGCGGGGTGGGGACGGCGCGGTGGCAGCCGCTATAGGACGCCCTCCATGAAGCTGGTGTCCAGGTGCTGGATGAGGACACGGATGAAGGACATCTCCTTGCGCGTGTTCTCGAAGATGATCCGCGGGTCGTCCGATTGGCAGCGCAGGCAGTTGGGGGCCATCACCATGGCCAGGTTATTGACGTCCATCTTGGTGACGGCCACGTTGGCCGGCTGCACGAAGACCTGGAGGTGGTGGGAGGAGAAAAGGTGGAGGTCAAGGGGTTGGTGGGTGGAAGGACCGTGTGGACTTGGTTCTTCACCACGTGGTGACCTTGGAGAACGCAAAACCACTTCAGATGGGAGTAGAAAGATGGAGATGATAGGCTTGGTGGAACTCCTGGTTCTTGGCCACCACATGGTGACCTCGAAGAACCCAAAACCACCTCAGGAGAAGGAACCCGGAGGTTCTCCAGGACCACCAACTCATGGGGTGGGAGGAGGAAGATGGAGAGGATGGGACTGGGGGGAGATGGGTGGAAGGACCACACGGACCTCCTGGTTCTTGGGGAAAATGGGGGGCACCACGTGGTGACCTTGGAGAACCCAAAACCACCTCAGGAGAAGGAACCAGGATGGTCAGCCAGGAGCATGAACTCATGGAGTGATAGAAGGGAGATGGAAGTGATGGGGTTGGTGGAACTCCTGGTTCTTCTCATGGTGACCTTGGAGAACCCAAAACCACCTCCAGAGAAGGAACCAGGAGGGTCTCCAATAACACCAACTCAGTGGGTGGGAGGAGGAAGATGAAGGTGATGGGGTTGGTGAATCTCCTGGTTTTTGAGGGAGATGGGGGTCACCATGTGGTGACCTTGGAGAACCCAAAACCACCTCAGGAGAAAAAACCAGGAGCATGAACTCATGGGGTGGGAGGAGAAAGATGGAAAGGATGGGATTGGTGGAACTCCTGGTTCTTGGCCACCATGTGATGAAGTTGGAGAACCCAAAACCACCTCAGGAGAAGGAACCAGGAGGGTCTCCAGGAACACCAGCTTATGGGGTAGGAGGAGGAAGATGGAGATGATGGGCTTGGCGTATCTCCTGGTTCTTGGCCACCACATGGTGACCTCGAAGAACCCAAAACCACCTCCAGAGAAGGAACCAGGAGGGTCTCCAATAACACCAACTCAGTGGGTGGGAGGAGGAAGATGAAGGTGATGGGGTTGGTGAATCTCCTGGTTTTTGAGGGAGATGGGGGTCACCATGTGGTGACCTTGGAGAACCCAAAACCACCTCAGGAGACTGAACCAGGAGAAAAAACCAGGAGCATGAACTCATGGGGTGGGAGGAGGAAGATGGAGAGGATGGGACTGGGGGGAGATGGGTGGAAGGACCACACGGACCTCCTGGTTCTTGGGGAAAATGGGCGTCACCCCGTGGTGCCCTTGGAGAACCCAAAACCACCTCAGGAGAAGGAACCAAGAGAATCAACCAGGAGCATGAACTCATGGAGTGATAGAAGGGAGATGGAAGTGATGGGCTTGGTGGAACTCTTGGTTCTTCTCATGGTGCTCTTGGAGAACCCAAAACCACCTCAGGAGAAGGAACCAAGAGGGTCAATGAGGAGCATGAACTCATGGGGTGGGAGGAGGAAAATGGAGGTGATGGGATTGGTGGAACTCCCGGTTCTTGGAGAGAATCAACCAGGAGCATGAACTCATGGAGTGGTAGAAGGAAAAGGAAGTGATGGGATTGGTGGAACACCTGGTTCTTCTCATGGTGACCTTGGAGAACCCAAAACCACCTCAGGAGAAGGAACTCATGGAATGGAGGTGATGGGATTGGTGGAACTCCCGGTTCTTGGCCACCACATGGTGACCTCGACGAACCCAAAACCACCTCAGGAGAAGGAACAACTCATGGGGTGGGAAGAGAAAGATGGAGATGATAGGCTTGGTGGAACTCCTGGTTCTTGGCCACCACATGATGACCTCAAAGAACCCAAAACCACCTCAGGAGAAGGAACCAGACCTGGAGGCCGCCTGGTGGGCCGGCAGAAGGTTCTGCTGTACCTGGAGGAAGCGGATGAGGTAGCACAGCACCATCTTGTTGATCCGGGGCAGGGAGTGGACGACGGCGACGGCGGCCTCGGGGTTCTCGTAGTGGGAGATGCACTGCTCGTAGAAGTCGTGCGGGATCAGCGGCTCCTCCAGCTCGCGGTACCACAGCTTCAGCAGCGACGCTGGAGAGGACACGGGGAACAGGAGAAGGTGTGAGATCTTCTACGTGGAGGTTCTGCTCCCACCAAAACATCGCCCCGAGGTCCTACCGGGAACGTGCGGGTCCTCCAAGCCGGTGGGGATCTTCCATTGGTCCACCTGCAGCTTGAGGGCGTTGACCTCGTCGATGTCACCGGGGACCCTGTGGGGGGAAGAAGCGTCGGTGGCTGAGTGACCGATGGGGACCTCCCAGCTGGACAGCTTTGGGTGCTCCAGGAGGACCAGGAGGGGACATCAGCTGGGCATGGAGCTGCTTGGTGTCACCAAGACCCCATCTTGGGGGACACCATGGAGAAACCTCCATGGAGCCATATTGGGAGATTGTTGGTGCCACCAAGATCCCATCATGACTGGTGGTCAACATGGAGAAACCTCCATGGCCTTGGAGCCATCTTGGGAGCTTGGTGCCACCAAGATCCCATCATGAATGGTGGTCAACATGGAGAAACCTCCATGGCCTTGGAGCTGTTTTGGGAGCTGGGTGCCACCAAGACCCCATCATGACTGGTGGCCACTGTGGAGAAACCTCCGTGGCCTTGGAGCCGTTTTGGGAGCTTGGTGCCACCAAAACCCCACCATGACTCTGGTGGCCACTGTGGAGAAACCTCCATGGTCTTGGATCAAGGAGAAGCTGGAGGGACCCACTGGATGGTGCCACCAAGACCCCACCATGACCTTGGTGGTCGCGATGGAAAAACCTCCATGGCCTTGGAGTAAGGAGAAGTTGGGAGGCTCCACTTGGCTGGTGGCACCAAGACCCCACCATGACTCTGGTGGCCACTGTGAAGAAACTTCCATGGCCCTGGAGCCGTTTTGGGAGCTTGGTGCCACCAAGACCCCACCATGACCTTGGTGGTCGCGATGGAAAAACCTCCATGGCCTTGGAGTAAGGAGAAGTTGGGAGGCTCCACTTGGCTGGTGGCACCAAGACCCCACCATGACTCTGGTGGCCACTGTGGAGAAACCTTCATGGAGGGACCCCGGGGATGGTGCCACCAAGACTCTACCGTGACAGGTGGCCACCATGAAGACACCCCCATGGCCTTGGAGGAAGGAGAAGTAGAGGGAACCCAGTGGATGGTGGCCACCAAGACCTCACCATGCCTGTGGTGGCCACCAAGACTTCACCATGCCTGTGGCGGTCACCATGGAGTGAGGAGAAGTTGGAGGGACCCACTTGGATGGTGCCACCAAGATTCCCCCATGACTCTGGTGGCCACTGTGGAGAAACCTTCATGGCCTTGGAGCCGTTTTGGGAGCTTGGTGCCACTAAGACCCTGCAATCACCGGTGGCCACCATGGAGAAACCCCCAAGGAGAAGTTGGAGGGACCCAGTGGATGGTGCCACCAAGACCTTGCCATGACTCTGGTGGCCACCATAAAGACACCCCCATGATCTTGGAGGACCCACCAGAGGAGAACACCCAAAAACGTGAACTCGCCCCATTTTGAGACAATTCTTGTGAGAACCTCCGGCTTGCCACCACCATGAGGTGTCCCCATGACCGTGGGGTGGCTTTACCTGAAGATGCCCTCGGTCTGGTCCCCGTTGAGCGCCAGGACCTCCTCGGAGAGCCGGGTCTGCACCCAGGGCAGCTGCCGGTCCGGGTACCGCTCCTTCTGCATGGCCACGATGTCCTGCAGGGAGCTGCCGAACATGGACGGGTTGAAGACGGCGTTCTTGGCGTGACGGATCTCCTCGATGTTCGGCTTCTTCAGGCCCTGCAGGAGACACCAGAGGTCACCGGTGGCCTCTGTGGTGGCCAGGGTGGGATCTCCTCAATCACACCACCCCCCTGGTTGAGCTTCATAAGGGTTGTGATGGAGCCATGGATGGATTCCAGGCAGTGTGGTCAAGGTGGTTCCACCATCCATCCATGGATCCATCCATGGATCCATCCATGGATCCACGGATCCATCCATGGATCCATCCATGGATCCATCCATCATCCATCCATCCATCATCCATCCATGGATCCATCCATGGATCCATCCATGGATCCACCCACCATCCATGGATCCATCCATGGATCCATCCATCCATGGATCCATCCATCATCCATCCATGGATCCATCCATGGATCCATCCATCATCCATCCATCCATCCATCCATCCATCCATCCACCATCTTGATTCAGAAGAGGATCCAACCCTATGGAGCTTGGTGGGACCATGGCCACGCTGGAGGATCTCCACCAATGGATTTTGCCTGGAGAAAGAGGAGAAGGAGCCACAACTCTTGGATGCTTCTGGAAAGCTGAACATCGGCGCTGGGCTTCCAGAAGGTCTTCAGGAGTTCCTTAGAAAGTTCCCAGAAGGTCGTTCCCTAGAAGGTTTTCAGAAGGTCTCCAGAGATTTTCCAGAACATCTCCAGAAGTTCCTTAGAAAGCTCCCAGGAGGTCTCCAGAGAGATTGCAGAAGGTCTCCTGAAGATCACCAGTTGGTCTCCAGAAGGTTTCCAGAAAATCTTCAGAAGGTCTCTAGAAGAGTCTCAGGTGTTCTCCCGAAGATCCTTAGAAGGTTTCCAGAAGATCCCTACAAGATCTTCAGGGAGTTCCCAGAGGATCTCCAGAAAGTTTCCAGAAAATCTCCAGAAGACCCTCAGTCAGTCAGACTCTGTCAATCTCCAGGATGTCTTCAGAAGATCCACAGAAGGTCCTTGAAAGGTCTCCAGAAAGTCTTCAGAAGGTCTCCAGAAGAAACCCCAAGGTTCTCCAGAAGTTCCTTAGAAAACTCCCAGAAGGTCCTCCCTGCAAGGTTTTCAGGTCTGAAGATCTCCGAATGGTCTCTGGAATGTCTTCGGGAGGCCCACAGAAGGTCCTTAAAAAGTTTCCAGAAGGTTCCCAGAAGGTCCCCTAAAGGTCTTCACAAGGTTCTCAGAAACTCTCCAGAAAATTTCCAGAAGGTCTCCAAAAGTCTTCAGAAAGTTCTCAGAAGTTCTCCAGAAGATCCTCAGACAGATTTCAAGAGGTGCCCAGAAGATCCTTTCAAGCTTTCCAGAAGGTTCCCAGAAGGTTCTTAGAAGTTCTTCAGAAGATCCTCAAAATCTTCCCAGAAGCTCCCTACAAGCAGTTCTCCAGAAATATTCCAGAAGGTTCCCAGAAGTTCTCTAGAAGGTCCTTAGGTGATCCCCAGGAGATCTCCTGGTCTCCAGAAGAAGTTCTCCAGAAGTTCTCCTCACCACAATCACCACCCGCCACCACCTCCCTCCCTCCTCCAGCCCCTTCCCGAATCCCAGGAGCTCCTGGACGACCCCGGTGGGAGGTGACCTCCTCGTCCCCCCCTTCCCGAGCCCACCCCATCTCCTGGTACCTTCTTGGCCCCGGTCAGCGCCGCCTTCTGCAGTTTGTTGTAGCAGTACTTGGCGTAAGTGCTGATGGCCACCCCTGCAAGAGAAGACACGCTGGGTGGTGGGATGTCACCTCCAGGATGGCGGGATGTCACCTCCAGGACCTGGAAGAGGTCCTATCCCATCCCTTCCCCTCCCCATGGTGCTGCTCCATCTCCATCCTTGTCACCACTCACGGGGGGCTTGAGGAGGACCTCAAACCTCTCAAGAACCTTGGAGGAACCACCAAAGGTGGAGCTCTGGAGCTCTGTGGTGGCTTTTGGGGGCCAGCACTGCCGTGGTCACCACTCCCATCCCATCTTCTCCAGACCCCACCTCTTCCATCCTCATCCCATCTCCTCCTCCTGATGTCCTCCATCTCCATCCTTGTCACCACTCACAGGGGGCTTGAGGAGGACCTCAAACCTCCCAAGAACCTTGGAGGAACCACCAAAGGTGGAGCTCCGTGGTGGCTCCATCCTGGGTGGCTTTTGGGGGCCACCACTGCCGTGGTCACCACTCCCATCCCATCTTTCTTCTCCAGACCCCACCACTTCCATCCTCATCCCATCTCCTCCTCCTGATGTCCTCCAGTGAGGAGATGACGCCTATCCCGACAACCCTGCAGGCTTGGTGGGACCTTCGGGAACATTCCAGAAGAAGCCCTGGAGACCTGGTGGCACCTTCTGGATCATCCCAACAGCCCCGGGGACCTGGTGGAACCTTCTGGACCATCCCAGAGGAAGCCCTGGAGACCTGGCAGGACGTTCTGGATGATCCCAGAAGAAGCTCTGGAGACCTGGTGGATCCTTCTGGACCATCCCAACAACCCTGGGGAATTGATGGAACCTTCTGGACCATCCCAGGAGAAGCTCTGGGACCTGGTGGGACCTTCTGGACCATCCCAACAGCCCTGGGGAATTGATGGAACCTTCTGGACCATCCCAACAGCCCTGGGGAATTGATGGAACCTTCTGGAGGTCTCCAGGAGAAGCTCTGGGACCTGGTGGGACCTTCTGGACCATCCCAACAACCCTGGGGACCTAATGGAACCTTCTGGATCATTCCCAGAGCCTTGGAGACCTGGTGGAACCTTCAGGACCATCTCAGAACTAGCCCTGGAGACCTGGTGGAACTTTCTGGACCATCCCAGAAGAAGCTCTGGGGACCTGGTGGCACCTTCTGGATCATCCCAACAACCCTGGGGACCAGGAGAAGCTCTGGGGACCTGGTGGGACCTTCTGGGCATGCCCCAGCGGGTGGCCTCAAACCCTGGAATCCGATGGTGGTGGAACGGTCGGGCTGGGAAGGGCCCTGTGAGGAACATCCCAACCGGAGACACGGCCGGACTTCGGGATGCAGCCCGGGAGGAGAGGGACCAAGGACCTCCGGGGGTGGGGCTGGTGGGATCTGGTGGGACTTCATGGGGTCTGGTGGGATCTGACGGGATTTAGTGGCATCTGGTGGGATCTGATGGGACGTTGTGGGATCTGGTGGGACTTCATGGGATCTGGTGGGATCTGGTGGGACCTGGTGGGATTTCATGGGTTCTGGTGGGATCTGATGGGACTTTGTGGGATCTGGTGGGACTTTGTGGGATCTGATGGGATTTAGTGGCATCTGGTGGGATCTGGTGGGACTTCATGGGGTCTGGTGGGATCTGATGGGACTTCGTGGGGTCTGGTGGGATCTGATGGGACTTCATGGGATCTGATAGGATCTGGTGGGACTTTGTGGGATCTGGTGGGATTTCATGGGACCTGGTGGGATTTCATGGGACCTGGTGGGACTTCATGGGATCTGGTGGGATCTGGTGGGACCTGGTGGGATTTCATGGGTTTTGGTGGGATCCGATGGGACTTGGTGGGATCTGGTGGGACTTTGTGGGATCTGGTGGGACTTGGTGGGATCTGATGGGACTTGGTGGGATCTGGTGGGACTTTGTGGGATCGGATCCGGGTTCCTGAAGGAGCAGCCCCTCCTGGAGCTCCCCAGGCCCTTCCCTGGAGGTTCCTCCTCGGTGGATCCCAAATTCCCTCCATCCCAGCGCAGATCCCGAGGGTCAATTAAGTGATTTGTACTAATTAATTAATTAATGGCAATATTAAATTAAATTCATTAATTAAATTATATTAATTATATAATGAAGTTATTCAAATTCTATTAATTAAATCTTATTATATCTATTAATTATTAAAGTAATATCAAATAATAATTAAAATTTATTAATTTCTAATACTACTAATAAAATTATTTAATATAATTTTCTTGATTATCTCTATTAAATTAATAGTTTTATAAATATTGTACGTATTAATAAATATCAACAATGAAATATTTAATATTGTTAATATTAATGTTTATTGATTATTAATTATTATTGATTTTAATATTTAATGGTATAATTATGCATTTATCATTATTAATAACCAATAATATCAGTACTAATGCTGATATTAATTGCAACACTAATCTACTAACACTACTAATTTTATTAATCATAATATTATTACATAAGCGGCACCAACTCTGACCCCTATTAATTACCCCAATTAATTGAATAATAATAATATTACTACTAATACCAATTATATTAATACTAACGCTGATATTAATACCAACACTAATACTACTATTAATATTAATAATGATATTATTACATAAACGACACCAAGTCTATCTGACCCTATTAATTACCCCAATTAATTGAATAATAATAATATTACTACTAATACCAACACTAATACTACTATTAATATTAATAATGATATTATTACATAAACGACACCAACTCTATCTGACCCTATTAATTACCCCAGTTAATAGATTAATAATATTGCTACTGTTACCAACACTAACACTACTAATATTAATATTAATACCATCACTAATACTACTAATAATAACATTATTACCTACAGGACACCAAGTCTATCTGACCCCCATTAATTACCGCAATTATTAAACTAATAATATCACCACTAATACCAATACTAATACTACTAATGCCAACATTAATACCAACACTAATACTACTAATACTATTAATAATAATATTATTACCTAGAGGACACCAAGTCTATCTGACCCCTATTAATTACCCCAATTAATAGACTAATAATATAACTTCTGATACCAATACTAATACTAATACCATCACTAATACTACTAATACCATTAATTATAACATTATTACCTACAGGATGCCAAGTCTATCTGACACCTATTAATTACCCTAAATAATAAACTAATAATATCACCACTGATACCAACACTAATACCACTAACGCTAACAATGCTAATATTAATACCAGCAGTAATACTACTAATACTATTAATAATAACTTTATTACCTACAGGACACCGAGTCTATCTGACCCTTATTAATTAGCCCAATTAATAAACTAATAATATCACCACTGATACCAACACTAATACTAATACCAACAATAATAGTACTAATACTATCAAGAATGACATTATTAATTACTACCAACACTAATACCATTAATAAGAACATTGTTACCTACAGGACACCGGGTCTATCTGACCCCTATTAATTAACCTAATTAATAAACTAATAATATCACTACTAATACCAATACTAATACTACTAATACTATTAATAATAACATTATTACTTACAGGACACCAAGTCTATCTCACCCCTATTAATTACCCTAATTAATAAACTAATAATATCATTCCTGATACCAATACTACTACTACTAATACTAATATTAATACCATCACCAATACTACTAATTCCACTAATACTATTAATAATAAGATTATTACCCACAGGGCACCGGGTCTACCTGGCCGCCATTAATTACCCCCATTAATTAACGAGCCCCGGGCTCCCTACCCGGGATCTCCTCGCTCTGGGGCTTGGGTTTCTTGCGCAATTTGGGTTTCTTCTGATTGGTCCTCGCCAGGAGGTGCCGCAGGTGCCGCGAGACTGGGGCGGAGCACCGGGAATTCCCGCGGGACGGAATGGGGACGGGGGGAGAAATTAAAATGGAAATTAAAATTAAAGGCAAAATTAAAATTAAAAAAGGTGAAGAATAAAATTAAAATTAAAATTAAAATTAAAATTAAAATTAAAATTAAAATTAAAATTAAAATTAGTTGAAAAGTTAAATGAAAATTTAAAAAAGTGGATCATTTAAATGAATATTAAAATTAAAATTAAAATTAAAATTAAAATTAAAATTAAAATAAAAAAGTTGAAAATTTAAATGAAAATGAAAATGAAAATTAAAAAAGTGGAAGATTTAAATTAATATTAAAATTAAAATTAAAATAAAAAAAGTTGAAAATTTAAATGAAAATTAAAATGAAAATGAAAATTAAAAAAGTTGAAAATTTAAACGAAAATTTAAATGAAAATTTAAATGAAAATTAAAATTCAAATCAGAATTAAAATTTAAAAAAAAGTTGAAAACTTAAAGGAAAATTTAAATAAACACATTTAAAAATCAATTAAAATTAAAACAAAAAATTAAATAAAAATTATAATTGAAATTAAAAAAGAAAAAATTAAGTAGAAATAAACTCCGGAGATGGGAATCTTCTGGGCTCCATCCCAACACTGGGGGCTTTTTGGGATCCAAAGCTACTCGAGAGGAAACATCTGGAGGTGGGAATGATGGAAACCATGGAATAATGGAATTTTGGATCCAAAACTACCAGAGAGGAAACATCTAGGGTGGGAACGATGGTGAAACCATGGAATTCTGGAATTTTGGATCCAAAGCTGCTAGAGAAGAAACATCGGGAGGTGGGTATCATGGAAACCACGGAATCCTGGAATTTTGGATCCATACCTACTAGAGAAGAAACATCGGGGGGTGGGTATCATGGAAACCACGGAATCCTGGAATTTTGGATCCATACCTACTAGAGAAGAAACATCGGGGGGTGGGTATCATGGAAACCACGGAATCCTGGAATTTTGGATCCATACCTACTAGAGAAGAAACATCGGGGGGTGGGTATCATGGAAACCACGGAATCCTGGAATTTTGGATCCATACCTACTAGAGAAGAAACATCGGGGGGTGGGTATCATGGAAACCACGGAATCCTGGAATTTTGGATCCATACCTACTAGAGAAGAAACATCGGGGGGTGGGTATCATGGAAACCATGGAATCATGGAATTTTGGATCCATAGGTACTTGAGAAGAAACATCCAGGGTGGGAATGATGGAAACCATGGAATCATGGGATTTTGGATCCAAAGCTACTTGAGAAGAAACATCTGGAGTTGGGAATGATGGTGAAACCATGGAATCCTGGAATTTTGGATTCAAAACTACTGGAGAGGAAACATCTGGAGGTGGGAATGATGGTGAAACCATGGAATTACGGAATCTTGGATCCAAATCTACTAGAGAGAAAATATCTGGAGGTGGAAATTATGGAAACCATGGAATCATGGAATTTTGGATCCAAAGGTACTAGAGAAGAAACATCTGGAGGTGGGAATGTTGGAAACCATGGAATCATGGATCCATAGCTACCAGAGAGGAAACATCTGAAGGTGGGAACCATGGTGAAACCATGGAATAATGGAATTTTGAGATCCACAACTACTTGAGAAGAAACATCTGGGGTGGGAATGATGGTGAAACCATGGAATTCTGGAATTTTGGATCCAGTGCTACTCGAGAAGAAACATCTGGAGGTGGAAATTATGGAAGCCATGGAATCATGGAATTTTGGATCGAAAACTACTAGAGAGGAAACATCTGGAGGTGGGAATGATGGAAACCACGGAATCACGGAATTTTGGATCCATAGCTACTAGAGAGGAAACATCTGGAGGTGGGAATGATGGAAACCACGGAATCACGGAATTTTGGATCCATAGCTACTAGAGAGGAAACATCTGGAGGTGGGAATGATGGAAACCACGGAATCACGGAATTTTGGATCCATAGCTACTAGAGAGGAAACATCTGGAGGTGGGAATGATGGAAACCATGGAATCCTGGAATTTTGGATCCAAAGGTACTCGAGAGGAAACATCTGGAAGTGGGAATGATGGTGAAACCATGGAATCATGGAATTTTGAGATCCAAAGCTACTAGAGAAGAAACATTGGGAGGTGGGTATCATGGAAACCACGGAATCCTGGAATTTTGGATCCATAGCTACCAGAGAGGAAACATCTGGGGTGGGAACGATGGTGAAACCATGGAATCATGGAATTTTGGATCCAAAGCTACTAGAGAAGAAATATCTGGGGTGGGAATGATGGAAACCATGGAATCATGGAATTTTGGATCCAAAGCTACTTGAGAAGAAATATCTGGGGTGGGAATGATGGAAACCATGGAATCATGGAATTTTGGATCCAAAGGTACTCGAGAGGAAACATCTGGGGTGGGAATGATGGTGAAACCATGGAATCATGGAATTTTGAGATCCAAAGCTACTTGAGAAGAAACATCTGGGGTGGGAAGGTGGTGAAACCACGGAATCATGGAATTTTAAATCCAAAGCTACTGGAGTAGAAACATCTGGAGCTGGGAATCATGGAATTTTGGATCCAAAACTACTAGAGAAGAAACATCTGGAGGTGGGAAAGATGGAAACCATGGCATCATGGAATGCTTTGGGTTGGGAGGAACTTCAGGGAATGGGAGAAGTTCCAGGAGTGGAGGTGACACTGATCCCACAAAGGTGTCAAAGCTCATTTCCTCTTGGATCTCCTGTTGGATTTCCAGGAAGGAGAAGGGCGGGAAAGACCCCACAGTACCGGCTTCACCTCCAGGAGATGTTTTGGATGAGTTCCTCATCCACCTTTCCATGAGGAGACTCGGCCAAAAGGAAAGGAACCAAATCTGTGGGGTGGGACATGGAATCATGGAATGGTTTGGGCTGGAAGGGACCTCTGAAGGTTGGGTTGGATGGAGCTTCAGGGGATGGGAGAAGTTCCAGGAGCGGAGATGAGGATGATCCCGCAGAAAAGGTGTCAAAGCTCAGTTCCTGTTGGATTCTGGGAAGGAGAAGGGTGGGAAAGGCCCCACAGCACTGGGTGCACCTCCAGGAGATGTTTTGGATGCTCCTCATCCACCTTTTTACGAGGAAACTCAGCCAAGAGGAAAGGAACCAAACCCATGAGTTGGGACATGGAATCATGGAATGGTTTGGCCTGGAAGGGACCACAAAATCCATCCAGGGACACCTTCCGCTATCCCAGGTCGCTCCGATCCCCATCCAACCTGACCTGGAACACTTCCAGGCACCGAGGACAACCACAGAAGCCACCGGGCCGCGGTTCCTCACTTACCTTTGGTGTCATTCACCGGATCCATGTGCCGGTAAATGTATCCTTCAAGGTAGGAATGGAATTTGGGAGTGGGTGGGAAAAAGGCCAGACAAATGGCCATGAGCTCCCAGCCGCGCGCCAGGCTCTCGTAACGGAAGTTCTCGGTGGTCTGCCGGCACAGCTGGATGTAGAGCTCGTCTCGCAGCCCCTGCATGCTCCAACCTTTGGTGGCGATCTCCAAGGCCACGTTGAGCTGGTCCGTCTTGGCCCGCCGGTCGCCCATGTACATCTGGATGAGCTTGAAGATCTCGCACGCCTCCTTCTTGACGTTGCGGTCGTTGGTCATGATCATGGGTTTCTTGATGGATTCGCTGCTCCAGGCCAGCATGTTGGCGATGGAGACCTTGCGGCGGAAGAGCCCTTGGGTGTGCTTGTTGAAGTGCTTGGAGGCCCAGTTCTCAATGTCCGTCTCCGAGGAGGGCTTGCGCAGGTTGAAGGTGGGGAAGACGCAGCTGGCGCTCGGCATCATGTTCCGCGTCTGCCGGCTGCTCTCGAACTGCGCGCAGGCGCCGAGGTCCTCGGACTGGGGGACAACAGGCGGGACAGGTCAGAGGTGTGGGGGGGTGGCAGTGCTGATGGATCGATTGGTTGATCGATCGATTGAGCAACAGATCAAAAAACCGACCAATAAACCAATGAACCAACCAAACAATGGCTCAATCAATCAATCAATCAATCAACCAAGTGATCAATCAGCAAGCCAGCCAACCAACCAACTGATCAATGAACAAGCTGATCAATAGGTGAACAAACCAGTCATTGAAAGAACCACTAAACCAATCAATGAACCAACCAACCAACTGATCAGTGAACAAGCTGATCAATAGGTGAACAAACCAGTCATTGAAAGAACCACTAAACCAATCAATGAACCAACCAACCAACTGATCAGTGAACAAGCTGATCAATAGGTGAACAAACCAGTCATTGAAAGAACCACTAAACCAATCAATGAAACAGGGAGTAAACCAATCCATCCATCAACCAATCAACCAACCGATCAATCAACAAACCAATCAACAAACAAACCAACCAATGAAACAGCCAGTAAGCCAATCAGTCAACCAACCAACAGATCAATCAATGAACCAACCAGCCAACCAACTGATCAATCAACAAACCAATCAATGAAACAACCACTGAACCAATCAGTCAACCAACCAACCAATGAACAGATCAATCAACAAACCAACCAATAAACCAGTCCACCAACCAACAAGTGGATTAAGCAACCAATCAATCAATCAAGCAAGCAATCCATCAACCAACAGATCAATAAACCAATAAAACAACCAACAAACTGATCAATCAACAAACTCATCAATGAAACAACCAGCCAACCAACCAATCAATCGACAAACGGATCAATCAACCAAGCAATCAACCAAGCAAGAAATCAACAGACCAACAAACCAACCAATCAACCAATCGAGGAAAAACCCAATGAACCAATCAACCAATCAACCAATAGAATAATCAACCAAGCAACCAACAAATTGATCAATCAAGCAATGAACCAACCAATCAATCAACTAATAAATCTGCCAACAAATCAATCAATCAACCTAGCAACCAAGCAACAAACCAACGAACCAACCAACCAATCATCCAACCAATAAATCAGCCAAAAGAAAGATCAATCAATCAATCAATCAATCAACCAAGTGACCAGTGGAGAAACCAACAGACCAACCAATGTACGGATGGTTGAAACAACCAACCAATGAATTGATCCACCAAACCGATCAATCAACCAATCAAGAAACCAACTGACCAGCCAATGAATGAACCAATCAATCAAACAAACAATGAACCAACCAACCACCAAAAAATCAATCAATCAATCAATCAATCAATCAACCAATCATCCAAACAATAAATCAGCCAACAAGCTGATCAATCAAGCAACTGACAAGTGGAGAAACCAACAGGGAAACCAACCAACCAATGAATTGATCTGACCAACCAACCAACCAATGAATTGATCTGACCAACCAACCAACCAATGAATTGATCTGACAAACCAACCAATCAACCAACCAACCAACCAACCAACCAATTAATTGATCTGACCAACCAACCAACCAACCAATGAATTGATCTGACCAACCAACCAACCAATGAACTGATCTGACAAACCAACCAATCAACCAACCAACCAATGAATTGATCTGACAAACCAACCAACCAACCAACCAATGAATTGATCTGACCAACCAACCAATGAATTGATCTGACCAACCAACCGACCAACCAACCAGCCAATGAATTGATCTGACCAACCAACCAACCAACCAATGAATTGATCTGACAAACCAACCAACCAATCAACCAACCAACCAACCAATGAATTGATCTAACCAACCAATCAACCAACCAACCAATGAATTGATCTGACCAACCAACCAACCAACCAACCAATGAATTGATCTGACCAACGAACCAACCAACGAATTGATCTGACAAACCACCCAACCAACCACCCAACCAACCAACCGTTGCAGCATTCAGAGGTCTTCCCATAAGCCTCGTCCTCTCCAAGGAGCTTCTCCTCAATCCCATCATGGCCAAGTGGAGCTGACCCAGTGCCGGCAGCCAAGGCGGGCTGTGGCACCGATTGGCATCAGGAGGGAGGGGACTGGTGGGGACAAGTGACAGGCTGGACTCTCTCCACACTTGGTGAGTAGAGCCATGGACAGAAGAAGTTGGTGGCAATGTGGGGTAAACAATGTGGCTTTGGGTTCCACCCATCCTTTGGGGACGCTGGGGACACACCCACCTTTAAGACCCCCCGAGGAAATGCCCTCTACCCAAAATCACCTTCCAGGGTGGTTCTCCAGCAGCCACTGGAGGAGGCTGGTGGCTCCTCCAAGCCATGAGCAACACGGATGGTCCTTCAGGACATCCCGAGGGACAGGAGAGGCTTGGGATTTAACCTTGACCTCTGCAGAGCATTCAGCTGGCAAGGACCCAGAGGACCCCTGTGGAGCAGTGTCCTTCTCCTGCTGGAACCAGCACAGCTTGTGGATGTCACCCCAGGAGGTGGAGGGACACCCCAACAGCTGGTGACCAGCATGGAGGAGGCCAACAAGGGACAACTGGGATGGACAATTGGACAGTCCTGTGGTCCTGCAGCCAGCCAAGGTGGCTTCATTATCTCTTCTGCAACATCCAGGCCAGCACCGCCTGGGTTTGGGAGCCCTGGGGACGTGACCCATGGCAGGGAAGGACATGTGACGCCATCCAGAGGTGACACTGCTGTCCCCACCTCGTGTGGAGGAGCAGTGTTGGTGGCCCTGAGCAGGGTCTGTGGGCAGGTGACTCCAGTGCTGCCACGGACTTGGCTGGGCTTCAGATGAGGAACAGAAGAAAACCAGAAGGTGGAAAGACCCGGGACGTGGAAAATCCAGGAGGGGACAAGGAAGCCGCCCAAGGAGCCACCAGATCCGCTGTCAGGTGACCGAGCTTCTACTTCTTCAAACAAGTCAAGTTTCTTTTCTCTTCAGCAACTCGTCCTGTTCCAACGTCGAGATCTTTCCTTCGACATCGCTCCACTCCCACCTTGACCACGGTGACGATGGCAGGGACATGGGACGGGGACACGGGAGCTTCATCCCTGAAGGGACCCAGCCCTGCTGTCCCTGTGGAGGCCACTCCACCCCACAAAGGACCCTCTGTGTCCTCCACCCTGGTCAGCTGAAGGCCCATGGGGTTTCCTGGGTGATGCAGGAGATGCTCAAAGGTCTCACGTGGCTGCTGCTGGAGACGTGGATCTTCCAAAAACTGGTCCAGGGGCTGGACCAGAGCCACCAAGAACACGCAGGGCAAAGAAAATTACCACGCTGGTTGAGGACATCAACCTTCTCCAGCCAAGGAGAGCGTGGTCAGGCCAGGGAGTGACCCTGGAAGTGAAATGTGGTGGATCCTCTGCTGCCAGAGCCAATAGGAAATTAACATCGGCCCTAATTAGCTCTAATTAGCACCTAAATTAACTTAGGGATGCCCTGGCCTACAAGAAGGGGATAAACCAGCGGGTGTCAACCTCAATGGCCGTGACCTCCTGCCTGTCCCATGGGGTGACGATGGTGTCACCTCAGGAATTAGGGAATCCTCCAGGGAGAAGGTCCTGGAGCCACGTGGATGGGCTGGGATGCACCTCAGTGTGGGGACACTCCACTGGTGACAATCACAGCCATGGCCATGGAAGGGCTGGGTTGGAAGGGACCGTCAAGATCATCCCGTTCCAATGGCCAGGGACACCTTCCATGATCCCAGGTGGCTCCAAACACCAACCTGACCTTGGACACTTCCAGGGATGGTGCAGCAAACTGGTGCCAGTGTCCCACCAGCTTGGTGTCCCTGAGGACAACAGATGGGACCATCAGGACAGAAACCTCTGGGGAGTGAAGATTCCCACCACATCCCAAGCTCTGTGAAGAAGGTGTAGGATCACCAATAGTGGCAGGTTTTTCTCCTGGTGTGAAGATCCAAAGTGGATCTGGAGCTCTCCAGTTGTGGGTTGGGACCTCCTCGTGCAGCGCGGAGTCCTTGTGCTTCAGGAATCTTCTTCTGCTGCCTGTGGATGCAATGCTCCACCAACTTCATTACACATTTCCATGGACAAAAAAGGAATTTTCCAGATGATTTGCTGTTTCCTGGGTCCATGTCCATGGTCTCCTTCCTGCTGACACCAAATTTCATCTTCCAGGAAGTTTTCCAGGTGGGATTTGTCCCCACATGTGGCATCATCACCTGTTTTTTGGAAGCCCTGACAGCCTTTCCCTGGAGGGGAAGGAACTGATGGACCACATCCAGAAGCTGATGGAGGAAATCCAAAAACCAGGGAAACATCTGACGGGCCAGAATCTGGGCACATGGGATGCACCAGCTCCAGAATTCCAGGTGAGACCCTCAGGGTCTCCTCTGGAATGGGAGTTTGGGGCTGGAGGGATCTCCGGGGAGGCAACAGGCAGCCCACAACCCTGGGAAACAAATTCTGGAAAACTGGTGGCTCTTTCATCCCAAGGTTTTGAGGGACCACCTTGGCAAGGACCAATATCTTTGAGGGAACACCTTGCTAAGAACCAACTTCTTTGAGGGATCCTCTTGGCAAAGATCAACTTTGAGGGACCACCTTGGCAAGGACCAATATCTTTGAGGGAACACCTTGCTAAGAACCAACTTTGAGGGATCCCCTTGGCAAAAATCAACTTTGAGGGACCACCTTGGCAAGGATCAACTTTGAGGGACTGCCTTGCTCAGGACCAACATGATTGAGGGATCACCTTGGCAAGGACCAACTTCTTTGAGGAATCCTCTTGGCAAGGATCAACTTCTTTGAAGGACCACTTTGGCAAGGAGCAACTTTGAGGGGTCACCTTGGCAAGGACCAACTTGTTTGAGGGACTGCCTTGGCAAGAACCAATGTGTTTGAGGATCACCTTGGCAAAGACCAACTTGTTTGAGGGACCACCTTGCTAAGGACCAACTTCTTTGAGGGACCACCTTGGCAAGGATAAACTTTGAGGGACCACCTTGGCAACAACCAACTTTGAGGGACTGCCTTGCTATGGATAAACGTGTTTGAGGGACCACCTTGGCAAGGACCAACATCTTTGAGTGATCACCTTGGCAAGGACCAATGTGTTTGAGGGATCACCTTGGCAAGGATCAACTTGTTTGAAGGACCACCTTGGCAACAACCAACTTTGAGGGACTGCCTTGCTATGGATAAACGTGTTTGAGGGACCACCTTGGCAAGGATAAACTTTGAGGGACCACCTTGGCAACAACCAACTTTGAGGGACTGCCTTGCTATGGATAAACGTGTTTGAGGGACCACCTTGGCAAGGACCAACATCTTTGAGTGATCACCTTGGCAAGGACCAATGTGTTTGAGGGATCACCTTGGCAAGGATCAACTTCTTTGAAGGACCACCTTGGCAAGCATGAACTTTGAGGGACCACTTTGGCAAGGACCAACGTGTTTGAGGGATCCCCTTGGCAACGACCAACTTTGAGGGACCACCTTGGCAACAACCAGCTTTGAGGGACTGCCTTGCTATGGATAAATGTGTTTGAGGGACCACCTTGGTAAGGACCAATGTGTTTGAGGGATCACCTTGGCAAGGATCAACTTCTTTGAAGGACCGCCTTGGCAAGGACCAACTTTGAGGGATCACCTTGGCAAGGACCAACTTTGAGGGACTGCCTTGCCAACAACCAACATCTTTGAGGGACTGCCTTCGCAAGGACCAACGTGTTTGAGGGACCACCTTGGCAAGAATCGACTTCTTTGAAGGACCACCTTGGCAAGGATGAACTTTGAGGGACCACTTTGGCAAGGACCAACTTCTTTGAGGGATCCCCTTGACAACGACCAACTTTGAGGGATCCCCTTGGCAAAGATCAACTTTGAGGGACCACCTTGGCAAGGACCAAGGTGTTTGAGGGATCACCTTGGCAAGATCAACTTCTTTGAAGGACCACCTTGGCAAGGACCAACTTTGATGGACCGCCTTGCTAAGGACCAACATGTTTGAAGGATCCCCTTGGCAAGATCGACTTCTTTGAAGGATCACCTTGACAACGACCAACTTTGAAGGACCACCTTGGCAAGGACCAACTTTGATGGACCGCCTTGCTAAGGACCAACGTGTCTGAGTCATCACCTTGGCAAAGACCAACTTATTTGAGGGATCACCTTGACAAGGATCAACTTCTTTGAGGGATCCCCTTGACAACGACCAACTTTGAAGGACCACCTTGGCAAGGACCAACGTGTTTGAGGGATCCCCTTGGCAAGGACCAACTTTGAGGGACCACCTTGGTAAGAACCAACTTTGAGCGACCACCTTGGCAAGGACAAACTTTGAAGGACCACCTTGGCAAGGAGCAACTTTCCTGAGGGGTCAGCCAGGGACGGGCACTCAGGAACCTCCTGGGAGCTGCCTGGATCCAGGATCTGCCCCACACCGGGGCAGGAGAAGCCATGGCACAGTGCTGAGGCCGCCATGGCACCCCAATCCTGGTGTGGGATCACCCCAGGGACCATCCCACTGGATCTACACTGGAGGAGAAGGACCTTCAACAAGGACTGGCCATGCAGTGAAGACCCCCAAAACCAACAACCTTCCCAAGGGCGTTACCTGAGATGGATGCAGGTAGGGCTCGGGGGAGGCCAGGTTGGTCTGGACGGAGACGCTCTTCTCCAGCAGGATCTGGGGGAAGCCCAGCTTCTCAAAGGTGTTCCTCTTCCAGTGCTTGTTCTCCTGCTGCGCCAGCGCCTCGTCCTCGCTGAAGGCTCGCACCACCGGGCCCGGCATGGGCAGCGGGAGGGCCCCGTCGCTCTCGTAGCCCGAACCGTCCTTTTGGGAATCCCAGCTGCTCCGTTGCTTCATGTGGTAGTGAGCCTGCTGCGCTTCCCACGCCAGGCGCGCCTGCGCCAGGAACGGCTCCGGGAAGCCCCGCGCCGCCTCCGCCTCGGCCGCCTTGCTCTCCGTCCGGTTCATCGGCGACCTGTTGGGCCCCGGCGCGGCACGCTCCTCACCCAGCTCTCCCAACACTTCCCGCTCCCCCGAGCCGTCCGTGGAGGAGGCGTTGGCGTCGTGGTTCACCGAAGGCTTCCGGCTTTTCCTCTTCCTGGTGGAGGGCGAGTAACCGGTGGAGGACAAGGTGTCCTGCTGGCTGGACCACGACATGGAGTCCTCGCCCTGGGCCACCTGGGCCCCCGCAGGGCCGGGGCAGAAGTCGGGTCCCTCCATGCTGCTGTAGTCGCCCGATTTGATCTCCAGGCGCTGATCCCGCACCAGGCAGGGGCTGTGCTGCAGCGAGTAGGAGCCGCCAATGGGGTTGGGGGAATATTTGTGCCTCAAGCCCGTCTTCATCTTGGGGCTGGAGCCCGACTGCTCCACGTAGACCAACTGCCGGACGTACTCCTTGCCGGCCGGGCTGTATTCCAGGCTCATGAAGCGGTCGGGACACTTCTGCTTGGTGAGCACCAACTGCTGGTAGGGCGAGTTGGAGCCTTGCTTGGGCGACTGGAGGAAAGGGTGAGGCTTGCGGATGGGCGATTTCTGCGGCGAGCCGGCCTTGTAGCTGCCGCTGGCTTCGTACTGCATGTCCACGGGCGGCTCGTCGTAGATGGGAGCCTGGTATTCCATGGGGGGCTCCTCGTAGAGCGGGGGCTCGTAGGCGTAGCGGGGCGACGAGGGCTGCGATTCGCTGGAATGTTTGCGGTGCTGCGCTTGGAGCGGCGAGCAGAAGGAATCGCCGCGGCCCAGCAGCGGCGAGCAGCTGCCCACGTGCTCGGCCCTCTTCAGGAAGGGCGACTGCTTCCTCTCCGGGAAGAAGACGGAGTTGTCGGCGTCCGAGGAGAAGGTTTGGAGGTTGGGCGACTGCTGGCCGCCCGAGGGCCGGCGGGAGCGGGAGCCGGGTTGGTTTTCCGGGGCGTAGCCGTTGCCTTGGTGGAGGAGGAAGCTGGGCTCCCGATCCGTCACCTTGATCAGCATCCGCTCCTTGGTGCCGGCGTTCCATCGGAGGGATGAGGTCCTGCGGGGAGAAACATCACGGTGAGGGGTCAGAATTCCACCAAAATTTGGGATTGCTGGTCCCAAACCTCCCAAATCACCGCAGAGCCTGGAGGATGAATATTCCCAAGTGCTCGAGAGATGGAGATGGGAGGGATTGGATGGGGTTGGATATTGGCCAAGGCATGGAGGGACAGGACACAGGGAATGGCTTCCCACTGCCAGAGGGCAGGGGTGGGTGGGATAACGGGAAGGAATTCTTGGCTGTGAGGGTGGGGAGGCTCTGGAATGGAATTCCCAGAGAAACTGTGGCTGCTCCATCCCTGGAAGTGTCCAGGGCCAGGCTGGACAGGGCTTGGAGCAACCTGGGATAGTGGAAGGCGTCCCTTCCCATGGGATTGGATATTGGGAAGAAATTCTCCCATAAGGAATTCTTTCCCTGGAACAGTGGATTTTCATCTCCTCTCTCCCCGCTCCAAGTCCTTGGGACACTCAGGGGGAAGAGCAAAGATGGATTTTATGGAGCTGCCCGGCTCACAGGAGGGATCCGAGCTGGAATTTGCTGTTCCCAAGGCACAGGGAAGCACATCCTGTCACCAATCCCACGCTGGAACAGAAGATGCCGGAGGCACCGTCTGCTCTCCCACTTCATCCCTCTCCAGTTCTCGTTTATTCCCAGCCATTTGTCCCTTCTGTCCCCCGGGAAAAGGCGGAGTGAGTTCAATCGCTGAGTTTTGAGGGAAAAATTCCCACAAAAAGCCACAAACAATTCCCTGCAGGAGGCTCCACAGTCTCTCCTTGTTTGTCCTCGCTCCAAGGGATTTGGGAACAATTTATTCCTTGCTTTTCCCCCTTTGGAAGTGCCTTTGGAGCTCCTGGGGACTTGAGCCTCCTGCCACCTCCTTGCTGCTGAAAACCTGGATGAGTTTGGGTTCCTCCACTTGGTTTGATGGATCTCAGCCTCTTATGGTGCCCTTGCAGACCCTCAAAATTCCATCCATGACCACAAAATCATGGATTCGTGGAATGTTTTTGGCTTAAAGCTCATCCGGTTCCTGCCATGGCCTGGGACACCTTCCACTGCCCCAGGTTGCTCCAAGCCCCTTCCCACCTTGCTCTGCTCCTGAAAAATCTGCTTTTCCTGCTCAAACCACCCACAAAAATCTTGGATGGCTCCATGTTTTTTTCTGGAAGAGCTGGAGGTCTTTAATCACCATGAATAACCTGATTTTTATACACAGATCCCAAAAATTGTAAGGAAGGAAAACAGAAGAGCCACAGAGAATTCCCAGTGGAACTGGACTGGAATTCCCAGGGAATCTGCGGCTGCCGCATCCCTGGAAATGTCCAAGCCCAGCTTGGAGCAACCTGAGATAGTGGAAGTTGTCCCTGCCCATGGAAAAGGGCTCCCTGGAAATGTCCAAGCCCAGCTTGGAGCAACCTGAGATGGTGGAAGCTGTCCCTACCCATGGAAAAGGGTTGGAATGAGATGATCCGGAAATTCCCTGCAGAAATCCACGTTTCCACATTTTCCCCAAACCCAAATCCCTCCTAAATCCAGGTGTTTTCACTCAAACCAGGTGAAGCCGCCGCTTAATTCCCAGCTTTGCAGCTGGCATTAATATTCCAGCCCCGCGGCATCTGGCAGCAGAGAATCCCAAGAAAAATCCCCAACGGAGCAGCGGCGCTTCCGTCAAAATGTCAAATCACCTCGCCCGGGCCGAGCTTTCAATCCCAAATATTAAAAAACAATAAGCAATATTCCAGAAAGCTCCGTGGATTATGGTTAGTGCCCCCCCTCCAAAAAAACCCACGGAATAAATGGAATTTTCTGCCGGTAAAAGGAATCCCAAAAAGGCGATTTTTGGGCTGAAATCGCTGCCCACGAGCGGCGCGGCCGCTCCAAGAAATTCAAGGGATGCTGGCACGGGGCATCCGGCAGAAATTCCAAGTATTCCTGTTATTTCTGGCTTGGCACCGGCTTCTCCCTGCTGTTTTCTCCACGTGGGGAGGATTTTTTTCTACTCTGTACATTTCCATGACAAAAGCGCTTCCCAAATCCCTCCGCATCTCCTATCCAAGGAATCCATTTCTTTGGAAATTTGTGTGATTCCCACATAATTTCCATCTGGTTTAGGGCAGGATTTTTCCATGTTCTCCTAAATTTCCTTCCCTGCTCCAGTGCCTCCTCCTCGATGTTGTTCCAACCTTTGGGAAGTCAGTGATGGAGGGGAGAGGAGAAACCTGGATCCCTCATCCGGGAATTCCTTTGCTTCCCGTTGTTTTTTCCGGAGAGACCCCACACCTGCAGGTTAAACACCCCCTCATTTGCATATCATTATTCATTCCAGCAAGAGTTCCGACCATGCACAGCTCAAAATTCCTTAAAATCCCATGAAAATAACCAAAATGATGGATTTTTTTACATTCCTGATGTTTTTAACGGGGCCCAGGGCCAGCTCCACTCAAGGTGGGACTGAGGGAATAAATCACAGCCGGGTTTAAGCAGAATTATTTTAAAACAATATTTCATTATTTTAAAAAAGAATTATTTGATTTTTGATGCATTGAGTTTTAAAAACATGTAATATTTCCAAAACCGACCCAAACCATGCATTTTTCCAAGATTTCTTCCCCTGCCCCAGTGTTGTTTAGACTTTGCAGGTGAAAATGAAAATTTAGAGCCGGGATTAAGTGGATTTTCCCCTCCCTGGGAAAAGGGGAAATAAACCTGATTTGAATAATTCAAACATCGGATTCTCCGGGAAAAGCAAAAGATCCCTGGGCACCCCCCACCATCCCAGCTCCTTGTGCCATCCCAAATTCCCAAAATCCCAAAAATCCTCGCTCTTCCTCACCTTCCTCCCCCGGCTCCGGGATTTGGGAGCATCTTCTCCCTCCGCCTTCCACCTGAGCTTAAAACTCCCTTTTCCAGGGCTAAACTGGGATGGGAATGAGGGAAGCAGCCCGGCCCCTCTTCCCTCCCAGCTGGGCACCGCCTGCTCCGAGCGCATCCCGCTGGGAATTCCGAGGTCAGGGATGAGCCGGCGGCGGAAAAAACCCTCCCTGTGCCTGGCACGGTGCCCGGCGCCGCTCCGGCAGCACGAAAATCTCCGTGAAAAAAAAGCGGGGAAAGGTGAGCAGCAGAGCCTGAAGAGGTCCAGGCTTCCATCTGGAGCCTCCCGTGATCCGTCCGAAATTTTCCAGCTGGGAAAAGGTCCTCGGGACAGGAATCCAGCCTCTATAATCATGCAGAAACTCGTGTTTTATGTTAATTTAGAATTAAATTAAGCTGTAGGATGAAATCCTGAAATCCTTAAGGTTTTGTTGTTCATCAAGCAGTGCCGTTCCCAAAAATTGACTTGGAATTCTACGGAATTCCGTATGTTTAGAATTAAATTAAGCTGTAGGATGAAATCCTGAAATCCTTAAGGTTTTGCTGTTCGTCACCTGCAAGCAGTGCCGTTCCCAAAAATTGACGTGGAATTCTACGGAATTCCGTATATATAAACATCCCAGGGCTTGGACTGGAATTTTAAATTCCACATTTTAAAATTTCGAATTTTAAATTCCTGCTCAAGCAGGAATTTCTCAGTTTTTGTGGGATTTGGGGTTCTCAAAACCCCGCCATGGCCTCTCCAACTCTTCTTCCACACTTCCAATCCCTCTTCCCATCTTTTGGAAGCGTCACTTCCTCCTTGGAGTTCATTTTTTTAGGAAGCCTTTTGATTGGTTGAAGCTGATTCCTAGAAAAACCGGAATGAGCGAGGAGAAATTTGCATAATGCAGGCAGTAAAATGGATATTTGGGAAGAAGGTGAGTGCCAGGATCGAGTTTTCCAGGATGATTTGAGAGATACAACTGGGATATCCAAGAAGGGAAAAAATCCAATTTGGTCTTTTTGTGGGAATTTTGGAGTGATGGGAATGTTGAAGCCCAAAGTCTCTTGATATCAAATCTGCGTTTGGTGGATAGCCACGACCTCCTGAAGTTCCTCTGCACACAATTCCCTTCTCCAACTAAAATATTCCCAAAGGGTTATACCCATCAAAATACTATTTAAAAAAAATTAAAATCCTATTATTTTTCCAAAACTTTCCAGGATTGTCCAATCTCTGTCTCCGGATGGCGCTATGGGATCACTTCCAGCTCCGAGCCCTCAACACCAAATCTCTCCGCGAAACATCTCCAATGTTCTGCTGCTCCGATGGCATTGGCGCTAATTAACATCCGCGGAAGCTAATCAAGACCAGAGGGAGATAACGACCCGTCCCATCCCTCCCCATCCCATTCCCACTTTTTTCCAGGAGAAGCAGGGCCGGGAGGATGAATTTTTGCCATTTTCCGGCAGCTGTTTGGGTGGGATGGTCAGGTCGGGACGTTGGAGGCCACAGATCCATAACCGAAAGATTTTGTGGAATGTTGATGATGAGGAAACGCCAAAATGAACTTGGATATCACTCGGCCGAAGGTCAGCTCAAGGTGGACCTTCCCACCCATCTTTGTCCTCTTCGTTTGGGACATCCATGATGGCCGGGGGGATCTCCAGTGAGTTCCTCCGGGATCAATCCCATCAGGAACCCACCGGGAGGAAGCACAAGACCAACACAACCGAGCCGGCCACGGACGACACGGCCGCCAAATTCCCGGGAGCCAATCGGGGCTGCTCCTCCCAATTAAAGCAATCCCCCAAAAATAGCTTCCTTCCCGAAATCCAAATGTCACCGAAAACAAGAGGAGATCTTTCCAGATTGGAGAGGGAGGAGGGAATGCTGGGAAAGGAGCACAGAGGAGCCTTTATCCTTCTGAGGAATCAGCTGGGAAGAACAAAGAGACCAGAAGTGACATTTCCCGAAATAGCCGATCAATAGGGAATCTGCTCCCGCTGGCTCCGGGAGCACGACAAAGAGTTCCAAAAATGGTGATTTTTTTTTTTTTTAGCTCTTGCCCATTCCGAGTGGATTTTGCATCCCCCGGAGCACATTCCCTACGCCAAAACTTTTCCTCCTCTTGGTGTCTCCAGCCTGGCAGGACACGGAATGGCTTCCCACTTCCAGAGGGCAGGATTTGGGGGAATTTTGAGAAGGAATTCTTCCCTGTGAGGGGCTGGAATGGAATTCCCAGAAAAGCTGTGGCTGCTCCATCCTGGAAGTGTCCAAGGCCAGGTTGGATGAGGCTTGGGCAGAAAGCCCAGCCCAGGAGGTCCCACCACTCTGACACCACCAAGAGCAACGATCAACCCTCATCCCTTTCTTTCCAAAAGATGGGATGTTCATCTCATGGCTCCCCAGGGAATCACTGGTGCCAGTTCTGCTCCTCTTCCTCACTTCCAAGGGAACCAGGGAATGGACTGACCTCTAAAAATCAGGAATGGTCACATTTATGAACTTGCAGTCGGAACCGCGCCCAAAATCTGGCGTGGTGGTTCCTCACCTCCTTCCCGGGTTTCTCCAAAGCTCCTGCAAGTCTTTTCCTGAATTTTGGGCCTGGATTTGCACAACTCTGCCAAATCACAGCCATTCCCTGAATCCACGTGGCACCAGGACAACAAATCCAGATGGAGAAGGGCTGAACGTGGCCAGGGCAGGATTTGGACACTGAACCATTTAGACACTGAACCTCCAACCATGGAGGATGAATCCAAAAACTCCTGTGGGAGCCAAGAGGTGAAAACAGCTGGAAAATTACAAATTTTTGGCAAATTATGGCTGTCTCCAAAACCAGAGGTGTCCCCATGACCATGACCACATCCTGAACCCTGCCAGACACCAGCCCACCTCCAAAACCACCTCAGGTGTCTCCACGTGAGGTTCTGTGGAGCTCCGAAAGGTGGTGCCAGGATTTTTGGGAACCACCCCCAATTCCCTCCTCATTTCCCCAATTTCTTTGCAGTGAAGTGATTCCTGTTGACCACAAGGAGACTGAAGACCTCCTCAAACATTCCTGGCTGTGGAGGTCCAGGAGAAATTGAGGAAGACCAAGCCAAGGATTGCATGCAGGTGAAGCAGCCGCCATCCTGCTCTCCTAGAACACCCACAGAAGAATTTCAGGATTTCCTGCTCATGGATTGGACATCCCAGCTCTCCACAAAGAGCTGGAACACAACAGGGGATCTTCTCCAGCTCCAAAGCCTGGAATGATGAGTTCCCCAAAGATCTGGAGAAGTTTGGTGCCATCCCTGCCGCCGGGAGGAGAAAGGGAGAAGAAGATCCTTAATGTTGAAGATTTTTGGTCGAAATTCCAGCTTGAGCAGCCTTGGACCTTCCGTCCATTAATTGGCCAATGCAGCCATAGGATGAAGAGAGAAATTTGGGATTTCTCCCACAAACAAGCAGTTTTCCCAGTGGTGGTTCTCCCTCCCGGAAAGGTTGGAATTTTTTCCCTCTTTTCCTTAAGTGCCAATTAATTCCGACGTTTCCCAGGAGGTCACTTGGTGGCAGTGAATTCCAGGGAAAAGCGGGATGGAATGTGATGGAGACCATCTTGGAACAGCTGGAAAACGTGCCGGGAAAAGGGATGAGGAGCGTGGCGTCCTTCCCGGTCACCATTTCCAACATGGAAAGCAAAGGAAGAGCTGGAGGTGCCTCCACTCATCCCCAGCTCCTGAAAAAATCCAGGAATTTGGGGTTTTATCAAAACCCGGAGCAACCAGGCAGGGAGTGACTCCAGAAATCCCCAAAATCCGGTTTTATCCTCGTCTTGGATTTTTGGGGTTTGACGAGGACCTGTTGGGGTCCAACGGGGACTTTAGGGGTTCAGTGAGGACTTGGGGGACTCAAGAAGGACTTGGGGGGGTTCAAGAAGGATTTTTGGGGTTCAGTGAGGATTTGAGGTTCAAGAAGGAATTTTGGGGTTCAGTGAGGATGTTTGGGGTTCAGTGAGGATTTGGGGTTCAAGAAGGAATTTTGGGGATCAATGAGGATATTTGGGGTTCACTGAGGATTTGGGGTTCAAGAAGGAATTGTGGGGTTCAGTGAGGATTTTTGGGGCTCAGCAACAATGTGGTGGGATCCAACGAGAATTTTGGGTATTCAGTGAGGATTTGGGGTCCAAAATGGACCTGGCAGGGTTCAAGAAGGACTTTTGGGGTTCAGTGAGGATTTTTGGGTTCCTTGAGGACTTTTGGAGTTCCACAAAGACGTGAGGGCAACACATGAAGGGAAGGGATGAGGAGAAGGATTGGGAAATCCTTCGGGAATAAAACATCAGTGACATTCGCTGCCCCACCCACCCCAACCCCGATCCCGGATGGAAATTCCGGCTACCTGTAGTGCAGGAGTTGTCCTTCCGCGCTGTAATCCCGATAAATGTCGTATTCCTTCTCGAACACCCCGGAAGGCGACGAGCTGGAAAACAGGAATGGCGGACGAGATGTTACCAATGGATACATCAATGTCTCCTCTAGGATTAATGGAGATGAATCCCATCAGGATGGGATCCACCTGTCCTGGATCTGCTCCCGGCACCTGCTGGAGCTTGGAGTCATTGATTTTTTGAGTTGTTGGCCGGATCATGACCAAGCCACCCATGGCCGTGGTCTCCAGGTTCACGTCCAACCCTTCTAAGACCAAATTTTCCCTTAAAACATCTGAGCAGATCCCAAACATCTCCTGGCTTAATCCCACCCTTTCCGAGAGCCGCTCCCGCTCTTCAACAACCTCGGATGGTCAGAGCCAATGGGAAGAGGAAAATCCCAAAAAAACGCATTTTTTGCCACATTTTTATCAAAATCTGAGCCTGCAGAGCTCTTGTTCCCAGATATGGAGAAGGTCACACCACCAACCCACTCCAAGAGACACCACACTTGGAAAAACATGCGGAAAAAACCCCATCTGGAAGTCTGGGGTGGAATTTCCAAACTGATTTTTGGATTTGGTGGGTTTCAGTGAAGATTTAGGAATTTAGACTTGGAGTCCAGGAAGGATTTTGTGGGATTCAAGCACTTAAAGCTGCTCCTGTAGGATCAAACCCACTCTTGATCCATATTTTTGGCTCCACACTTTTCCAAAGGCCATGAATCCAAGCCAAGACCCTCCAACACTTCCCAAAAACCAGGTATTGATCACTGTCTTTCCAATATTATCCATCCCCGCTGCCGGTGAGCACAGGAAAATGTTTATTTTTGCCTTAACAGCCTTTCCCAGCGGGAATGTGCTCGGAATCGGTCCCGTTTGGAAAACACAGAGCAAATATTTCTCCAGAAAATGTCTGGAGAAATAACTTTATTCCAAAAAAACCCGCCCCTAAAATTCCCCCACGTTTCCTTGTTAAGGCTCTCCCGTTAATAAAATCCGGATCCGATGTTGGTTTCAGGAGGAAAAAAAGAGGGAAAAGAAACAAATCTTCCTAATAGGATAAAGCTCCAAAATTTTAGTGGAGCAAGGAGGCAATAAAATTAAGCTTCTGTCAAAGCTGATTTTAATGGGATTTAGCCTTGGAATTACGGCTGTGTGGAATTGCTTAATCCCTTTTTCCTCGCCAGTGCGTGTGAATGGAATTCCTGTTCCTCCTTCTCCTCCTCCAGGATTCCTGAGAGAAAGGCATCACCACCTCTGGTCCCAGTGCTGTACCCAAATCCATGGTGGAATTTAGATGGATCCCCAAATCCATGCTGGAATCCAGATGGATCCCCACATCCATGCCAGAATCCAGATGGATTCCCACATCCATGGCGGAATCCAGATGGATCCCCAAATCCATGCCGGAATCCAGATGGATCCCCACATCCATGGTGGAATCCAGATGGATCCCCAAATCCATGCCGGAATCCAGATGGATCCCCACATCCATGCCAGAATCCAGATGGATTCCCACATCCATGGCGGAATCCAGATGGATCCCCACATCCATGGCGGAATCCAGATGGATCCCCACATCCATGGCGGAATCCAGATGGATCCCCACATCCATGGCGAAATCCAGATGGATCCCCACATCCATGGCGGAATCCAGATGGATCCCCAAATCCATGGCGGAATCCAGATGGATCCCCACATCCATGGCGGAATCCGGATGGATCCCCACATCCATGCCAGAATCTAGATGGATCCCCAAATCCATGGCGGAATCCAGATGGATCCCCAAATCCACGGCAGAATCCAGATGGATCCCATCCCTGGAAATATCCAAGGCCAAGTTGGAGCAACCTGGGATAGGGGAAGTTCCCTGCCCAGGAAGTGGATGAGCTCTAAGGTCCCTCCCAACCCAAACCATTCCATGATTCCAGGAGAGTTCTGGAGCTGTTCAAGGTCCTTCCCTAGGGATCTCCCACCCCCATCCCGCAGAGCAGCATCCCTGGGGAAAGTCTGCTGGGAATTTTGGTTTTTCCATCTAAAAACTCCACTGGAACCTGGTCGTGGCCAAAACGGGATTGTCAAACCCAACGGACACCAGAATTCCCCATGTGGGATGGACCAACAGCTCCTCCCACCGCCATCAGCAAGGTCCACACCCCTCCAGGACGGAATTCCCACTATTCTGGATCCCAGGTTTCTCTTCCAGCTGCCAGGATCAAGCTCCACGTGCTCCTCCATCCTGTGTTTTGGCTGAGCGTGACAATGGGTGGATTTTTCTTGGAGTTGTTGATTCCAAGATCTTCCCAATCCATTTATGCCACGGCTTGGTTTCCATCCGTCCTTTCTCCCGCTGTTCCATTTCCCGCCAGCGTTAATTATCCCTGTCCAAATGAGCTCCAGGCCTCTTCCCACGAGGTTTCTGGATTTATGGAATTGATGGATGAGCGAACCCATCCCAAAGATTCCGACTGGGGGGAGCCGGGCAGGGAATCTCCTCAGGGATCCGCGGGAGGACGGAGCTGTGGTTGCACATTCCCGGGGATGGCCGAGCCGGCCGCGCTCGCTTTTCCGGGATGAGCCGAGTTTTTGGGAATCATTAAAAACCACCAGCTGAGGTTCCAGCGTTAATTAGCAGCCTCTGGAATTGGCCGGAGAGCCGAGGGCAGGATTCCCCGCTGATTCCTGGTTAATATTTAAACAGCAGCAGCGCCGGATTCCGGCTATGCCGGCTTCCTGCGGGCAGGGATGCGACGGAGCGTGGCCCCTACCCTTGGCCAGCTGTTTTTCCAAGGTTTTTAAGCCAAATCCTTACGGATTTTGTTTGACTAACAAGCAAAAAAAGGATTAAAGGAGGAATTTTATGAGGGTGGTGAAACACGGGACGAGGATCTGTGGATGCTCCATCCCTGGAATATTCCAGGCTGGGTTGGATGGGGCTTGGAGCAACCTGGGATAGTGGAAGGTGGCCCTGCCCATGGAACTGGATGGTTTTGAGGATCTTTCCAACCCAAACCATTCCATGTTTAACATCTTTCCTGCAATCTCCACCTTGGCCCAGTTTGTGTCCTCAAGCCGGACATTCCCACCCAAGCTGGCCTTGGCCAAGCCGGAACAACCGGGATAATCTGGAAAACTCAACCCAAACAAAATTCCCAAAGTGGGCGTCAAGGGCTTCCAGGCACCGGATTGCATCCCAGAAATCCCGACGGATAAAATCGCACGGAGATGATCACAGGAAGCAAAACCAGCTCCAACCAAAAACCCGACCGGTTTGGAAACCCGGCTTTGGTTTTGGAAAAATGTCCTGAGGTCTCCCCAAAATCCTTCTCCATGCAAAGCCGGCCCAGCTCCCTCATTTTCTCCTCACACATCCTGGTGATTCCCCACTGGATTCTCCCAGGTTTTTCACATTTTGGATAACCCAAAGGTTGCCCAGTTGTGGTCAAGCGAGGTTGAAATCTCCACTGGACCTTCCAAGGTGTTCCCAACTTCCCTTCCTCACCTGCCCTGGGGATAACGCTTCCCAGCATTCCCGAATCCTGGAGCGGCCACCGGTTTGTCCATCCCGTGGCCTTGCTGAGCTTCAGGAAGTTCTTCCCAACCTGTCCTCGATCCACAGAATCCCTCGGAGCTCCAGCCCTGCCCTCCAGCTTGTCTGGAGCCAGGGGCGGCTCCATTATTGATAAGGATATCCAGATTATTGATAAGGATCAGGAGTGAAGCTGGGATTGGCCTGGGAGGAGCCAAACATTGGGAATGAGCCCCAACCGCCACCCTCTGAGCCGGAGGATCCGGTTTTTATCCATCAAATCGTGTCCCTGGCTGGATGAGGGATACATCCAAAACCCTTCCGGGACACTTTGAAGGTGGTTTTCCATGAATAAACGTGATTTTCCAGTCATAAGTGTGATTTTCTGGTGAGAAAGGTGGTTTTCCAAAAATTAAGGTGATTTTCCACTAATAGGGTGATTTTCCACTAATAAAGGTGGTTTTCCAATTTAAAAAAAAGTGATTTTCCAGTAATGAAGATGATTTTTCATTAATAAGTGTGATTTTCCAATGAAAAAGGTGATTTTCCACTAATAGGGTGATTTTCCAATAATAAAGATGGTTTTCCAATAATTAAGGTCATTTTCCAGTAATCAAGATGATTTTTCATTAATAAGTGTGATTTTCCAATAATAAAGGTGATTTCCCAATAATTAAGGTGATTTTCCAGCAATTAAGGTGATTTTTCCAATAATCAAGATGATTTTTCATTAATAAGTGTGATTTTCCAATGAAAAAGGTGTTTTTCCAATAATAAAGATAGTTTTCCAACAATTAAGGTGGTTTTCCAGTAATGAAGATGATTTTCCATTAATAAATGTTATTTTCCAATAATTAAGGTGGTTTTCCAGTAATGAAGATGATTTTCCATTAATAAATGTTATTTTCCAATAATTAAGGTGTTTTTCCAATAATAAAGATAGTTTTCCAATAATTAAGGTGGTTTTCCAGTAATGAAGATGATTTTTCATTAATCAAGGTGATTTTTTATTAACAAGTGTGATTTTCCAATGAAAAAGGTAGTTTTCCACAAATAAGAGTTGTTTTCCAATAATTAAGGTGATTTTCCAGCAATTAAGGCGATTTTTCCAGTAATGAAGATGATTTTTCATTAATCAAGGTGATTTTTTATTAACAAGTGTGATTTTCCAATGAAAAAGGTAGTTTTCCACAAATAAGAGTTGTTTTCCAATAATTAAGGTGATTTTCCAGCAATTAAGGTGATTTTCCACTAGGAAAGGTGATTTTCCACTAATAAAGGTGATTTTCCATTAACCAAGATGCTTTTACATCAATAAAATTAATTTTCCCTAAACCACAGCTTACAAAGCCTTCAGCATGGACAGAAATTTATCCTGGGAATCTCTGGCACAACAACAAAACCCTAACAAAATTAAAAAAAAAAAAATCAATAAATCCAGCTTTTTTTTTTTTATTCCCTCCTGCCTAGAACAGGAAGCGTCACCATTCCGCAGCCTTTGGAAAATCAGGGAAAGTGAACG